TGTGTCTGTCACTCATTCCAATACTAGATATCATATTACAACTTAACTTCGTATAAAGAGACATCTTTATGAATTCTACCTATCTAACATTTATTTGGTCAAGGTCAAAAGGCCATATAGTAAATGTGCAGAGACATAGGGACTTCATTCTATCTGTTTACATGCATCTTCATATATACTCATATTCCTCTTTGTTAAACTGAGTGAAACTGGCTTCCATAACTTTATGTCACTTTTATTTTGATGTTCGCTGAAGTCTCTTCAGCTAACAGAACTGTCATTTTTACATTTAAACGCACCCCTGGAAAAAAATTACGAAGCGAGTCGCTACTAGCTTTTTTAAAAGCTAACCTTGTTATTTTCAAGTCTAGTTCATTCACAGATGTATATTAATTTTGAACCAGAAATGAGCAAATTTTCGTTGCAAACTTACTTACTGCGAGTATAAAATGTAAATTTTAAGGAAATAAAAGCGTCAAGATTGTAATTAAAAAAAAACAACCTTTTATATGTATACATCGTTTCGCTTCAGTTATATAGTTTTGTGCGATAGAGTGTTTACCTCGTTAGTACATTTTTGTGTGTCAAATTTTGTTATAGGCTGTAAAATCACTTTTAAATAAATGCATTATTTTTGTACATTTTGTTTAACAACTGCTACAGGGAGGAAACTTGCAAATAAGTTTTTGCGGGTAACTAGAAGTTATAAGTTATATCAAGTTAATTTAGTTCATACAAATTTATATTAGTTCGATTGTGTTGTAAGCTATAAGCGTATTTTAAACACCCTCGATTCGTTCCTGGAACGAACCAGTACTAGATTGATGTAAAGTTTCTTGCTCAAAGAAACAACGGCTTGCTCCTGACTGTCCGAAATCATAAAGCCAGCAATATTTAGATAACTAGTCCGAAGCGTTAACCACTCGGGCACGCTGCAACTCTTGATTAAAGTTGATAACGTTTTAATACAATGTGTTTCTTCAAATACACAAAAAGTCATTCAAAACGACATAAAAAAGTATTTCAAATTAAGTGTCTCATGATTCTTTTATAAATTTCTGGTTTGATATAGAAAGTTTACAATTAGCTTGTAAACATCTACGTTTATTTACAATTATATAGTCTAGTTATATAAACAGGTTGTTAACAAACAGGAAGCTATTGCGCGAGTTATTAAATTCTTCTTTAAAGTTACAAGTAGCTAACTATTTATTTTATGAATACAAATATATATATATACATAGAAGAATACTGGATTCACTTGAGGTACGTAATAAAAGGGCCGGTAATCAAATACTTTTATTTGTTGCTATCATGAATTTAACTAGACGGGCTCCAGATAGTATACTAGCGACATTCACGCTGGTTCAAATGCATCTTCTAGATATAGAAATTTTTGTTAACAAATATATAGAGGATATTCAAGTTTTTTCTATAAATATGTGATTTATTTTCATCGAGTGGTATGAAAATAAATATTTCATGAGTGGCGGTAGCCACGAGTGAAATATGGTAATTTTCATGCCACAAGATGAAAATAAATCATGTATTTATAGAAAAAACTTGAATTTTCTGTTTATTATATACATTTTTCTCTTTTTTGACATTAAAATATGAAAGACTTTCCCTTAAATTTTGTGTACTGGCAGAATTTTAAAGAAAGTACGCAAAATACGCATTTTATTTCATCAATATTTCTCAATATTTCATTTATAAGTATATAATAAAAACACATATTATATACCTTAAATAAAAGATATGAAAATTAAAACTAGCAGGTTTGAATATCGAAGATAATCCTTACGTGACTTGTTGTTTGAGGAACATTTCTCTGCACTTCATGAGAAAGCTTTTACCTGATTGCTCGGTTCTTCCTTCTATAGGAATTCGGACAGGTTCCAATGTGTTCTACATCATTGTGTCTTATCTTGTTTTGTGTCCCTATAACCGTCTCATTCTCTCATCTATAATTATATTTCACTGACAAAATATATAATAATATTTCACTGACGTCTTGCTCATAAAGAAGGGGCCAAACAGACCCTTGACGTCGAGAATCACGTCTTATATAACTTCATCTGTCTATCTTCCCTAACTACGACTATTAGGAGCAACTGTTCGATTTTAAAAGTATATTTGTGTAATGGATTTAATAAGCTGATCTTTATCTTTTATAATCTTTTCTTCCTAATTGTTTTCTTCAGACATCGTTAATAAGCTATTACACCCCGTCTGAGTCAAGTTTCTTCCACACCACTGCGCTCACTTTCTTGCAGTCTGTGATTAACATCACGAAATTTCCTTTGCCAGTACTAGTATAACACCAACGCTCGCAACCATCAGCACTTGGAATAGTCCCCCTAAATTATTTAACTCATGCGATGTTACTAGGTGTCACGTGCATTCCGATGCAGGGCCGTTGGTGTCGACGTTTTAGTTTCGTATCATGCAGCTGAATTCCTTTTCCTGTAAAATCAGCTTGCTTACCTTCTGATAAAGTGAAAATATCATACACATGTCACAAATCATGATTTAAAATTCAGATAAAATTAAATTCATGTCATATATAAATAAAATACATAGGTGCCTCGTCGCGAGATTTAAATGTTATAAGGACCTTTTTCCTAAAGGAAAACACCTCCACAATGTCAATGTCTACATAAAAAGTACATTGAACCGTTTCATATTGAAACTTTGTGAACAACCCTTGTACGTTCATATAAAAATAGTGATTTTAAACACAAGATTGCCTTCTTACATCGTAATTTGTATATGATTTTATTTCTTTCAGACTGCATAAGATGTTTGAACCATTTCTTGTTAGTGTTCTGGTTGCAGGTATGTAACGTTTTCTATTTCTTTTGAATCAATTTTTAATAGTTCCTGCAAGGCTGTGTAGATTCGTTCAATAGATATTTCCACAGGAGGCCCTGATTCGTTACCATAAACATTTTCGCAGTTCAAGTTTGATACAACATGTGTTCTAATTTATTGAACTTTTTGTGTTCAAGAAAGTGTTCAAATACATTAAATTCATTTTTAAACTAATGTAATTACATTCCTTTAAACGGACATTAAATGTTACTTCGGAGCAAAAAGAAAATTGTGTTGACTCCAGGAGGTCGAATTAATTAAGGACACCCGGCAAGGCAATTCGATGTAAATAGCTATAATTAATTATGTTAAAACTGATTTATGTTAAGATTAGTGTAATTCTTACACCTAGCGGTTTTCGTTATTTTAGGTAGGATACATAAGAAGATACTATCTAACATTAGTTTTGTATTTCCAATATCTAAATGAGTCATGAAAACTGAAATGTAACTGAAATTATAATAATAACATCGTGAACGTTTGTTTATCTGAGGTTCAATTACATTCCTCCAACAAACGATCAATTCAGGTTTGATGTGCTTCAATAAAAAGAATGTTTATTTCGTTTTCAAAATGTTATATAACTGTATTGACGCACAAACACAAATTTTGAAATGATCGTTAACATTTTATCGCGATATTAGGCTTTATTATTATTATTAGCATACATGTATGAATAGAGACTATTTGATGGAAGTTATCATTATTTAAGTTAATTGGCTGTCAAGTCCATTATGCGCAATAAAAAGGTATTTATACAAGTGATATAGTTACAAAAAAATATAAAGATGTATATCAGACTGTAAAAGATACATTTTTGTGAACAATTGCACATCCTAAATTGAATTGGTCCATAACGGAAGGTCTGTAATAACCTGTACTGATAGTTTTCATACATGACAACAAACTTTGGAAGAATTATATATGGATATTGTTGGTAAATGTGAGATACACCCTCCAATAACATGTAAACAAGACAAGACAATTTGTTTATTTAAGTCTCACTGTTGTATATATATTAATAAATTTTAACAAAGTTATAAAAGAAATACGTGAAAAAAAAACTCTCTAAAAGAGCTATGAGAGACTTAGAATATGATCATGAATAAATAAAAAAACATTTCAAACTGTCTTAAAACGTGTTAAAAGCTGAAATATGTGGCAGCAATATAACTTATATTACACATACAAAACAAACGCATCCTAATTAATATTCAAAGTTTGACTATGATACTTGTGTATAAAGTATAAATAGCCTTTATAACTTGTGCCTCATATTTTACAATATTTTCATTTGATAGCAAACATATGAATTTCTCATTATCAATCTGTCATTAGTTTTGCATATGTCGATATAAAGCGTCTCTCTTATTTGCGAATAAAGTGGACATTTAGCAGGGACATTACAGCTCTTCTAGTGGTTAAAACAAAATATACGGTCAGCGTGGTTCTACTCAGATGCCCGTTCGTGCCTGAAATAATGCACGGATCGAAGGGCACCTGAGGTCTTCCTCCACCAGTAAAGCTGGAACGTATACTGTATCGGTATGACGTAAAAACTAAAGAAACAAACAATCAAACAAAAAATTGAATATATATATTTTTATCATATAAATGCTCATTTTCATAGAAAGTTTGAAAATAAACGTGATAAAACTTTTTTAAGAATATTATGGGCTTTCCCAGCTTTTCCAGTGATACAAACAAACTTTTAAAGCTACAGCTTTGAAAAGTAAGCCCAACAGGTTGACTTATTTATTGTGACCAGTAGTGCACCGTTAACTAAAAGTTAATATTAAAGTTTGTCACGGAGCGGGGTGGAGGGTTAGCTTTGAAAAACGTACATTTGCCGAGCTCTAGATAAAATATGTTATTATACTTAGACAAATCAACTTTAAGTAACATGTCTCTGTATTTCGTATTTATCATTGCAGAACAGGATAGTTCATTAAGGGAGGATAAGGGATTACATTTTCTCACCAGAAATGAATACTAGAAGCATTTGACCACCTTTAAATGATACTGTTATGTATTTATAATTTTAGTGTTTGCTGTTATTCAACCGACAACAGGGCAGAACCCGCCAACCTGGAACACAGGAACATCATTCACTAAGACGTCTTCAGATTGTCCAGAAATCACCGACTTGTCTGCAACGTCAAAGACTGGCGACACTGTTTTATACTCGTTAGTTTTTATTCTATTGAAAATTGTTTACAGTTTAAGTCGGTGCTAGGGTGTGTGGGCGATGTTGCATCTTTTGTACTTGTACTTATGTTCACTTTACTTTTGAGATATTTCTCTATTTCCACTTTTTAATCACACTTTGAGCCTTGCACTTTCTATTTGTTTATGACAAAAAAGGCAATAGATTCATGTAGATATTTTAGGATTTAGTTATATTGTTCAATTTACTTGATGCATATTTCATATTGGATATTTATTAAGTGAATGTCTAGTGTTTCCTTCCTCAGCGTGTTTTTTACCATTATAACTTTGCACATCCAGTTATGAATAAGGTAATGATTGATAAATCAATAACATTTAACTTAATGCTCATTACCAATTTTATTAAATGTTAATACACGGCTACTGTATCCCAATTGTTTTATAAAACCGGCCACTATTTGGAAACGAAAGTCCTTTCAGTTTTACGAAACAAGGGGAAACACTTACTCCTTTTAACAATGTAAATGTCGCTAAGCATGGATGAAAAACATGATATTGAACAATGTTCATCATTAAAATTTTAAAATGAATTGAATAACAAAGTATATTTATACATACCGGTATGCCATGGCACTTTTGTTTGGTTGGTTGTTCGACTTTTTTGTTCTTTTCTTCATTTTTTGTCGTTTAAATAATGGAACGACAATGTGTAATTATATTTTTCTTTTTGTTATATTACCTTTACAGTGTAGAGTCTCAAACCCCGATGATGCCGGATTTACTACTGATGTGAACTTTGCTTCTGATCCAATTCTTACGTGTGTGGCGGGTTCCGTATCCCAATCCTCGTATGTTGTAGTTGTAAGGTATGTAATTGTTATTTAGGTCACAGTATTAGCATTGTATGTTGATTTTAAAACACATTACAGCATGAGTGCCTATCTAACGTATTTCAACTCTATATATTTTTTTTTTACTTTTAGCTCTGAATAGACACTTTTGCCGTCCTCATCTTTCTTCATTTATCATCAATGAAATGTTCTTCATTATATTTCGAACATGTAATTTACCGCTGAATTATATGTTAGGAAAAGACCTCTATAAGCATTGTATGCTTTCGGATCTAATCCTTTTCAGCATTGTATATTATGTAACTATTGATTGTATGTAATATATGTTTGTATGAAAATGTTTGAAATAAAATATGTTTAAACTAATTGTTATCAAATTACAGAAATTCGTGAAATCCCTGTATTGAACTAAAATTTAGCGAATATATATTCTGCGATATTCAGTGTACGCGAATATAGCGAAAATTAGATCCTTGCAAAAAAACAGCCTGATACACGGTGTTCTGTGTGTTTCTTAAACTATTCTTTTTTCTTTTTCTTACACGCATACATAGGAAACAGTTCTCTTGATTACAACTCTTAATATCTTTAGAACGTTCGATTTTGATTATTTGTACACGGTTTTTCGCATTTTATACACAGAATCAAATCACACTATTACAAAATAACGGTCTGGGAAATACGAGATAAAATATTTTACATGACGTTTATTCAGTATTTTGTATAACCGAGACTAACCTTTTCGAAAGGACAACACCATTTTTGTGACACTTTTCGGCTATCACTATTCACTGTTTATACATTCCATATTTTACAGAGCAAAATATCAATCAGATGCGGGACAAACAGATTTAACCATTACTATCACATTCACAGATCAATCACCTGGTAAATACATTTTAAAATACCTTATTCTTCAAAAATTCGTTTTAAGAATGGTTATATTATGTATGAGATATGTCATAACACAGGAACATGAAATTCTATCAAATAACGAATATTAATGATAATATCCAAGTATACCCCCTATATACCATAGTTTTTTATATTATATGGGGGTATATTTTGCTTATTATCGTTAATATTGAATTTCAAGTTTTTGTGGTCATAGACAAATATCTTTGTAAAAGGTAGTAACGGTTACAAATATTATACTATGAATCTGATTTTTGTCTACTTTTCAATCTGTGATATTTTTCCTTTCCACAATAGTCGCACAAAGTAAGTTTCTTAAAATAATTCAATGGGAGGAGCCCTAACGGATAAAGTGGTTAAGGTGTCTGGCCTCTCAACTCAGGGTCATTGGTTCGAGCCCTAATCGGATCACGGCCATGTTTCTTCATATGACACCAATACTGGTTGGTTCCAGGAAGCGGACTCGAACGTGATTTATATAAGTTGCAATAACTTTTTTCGCAATTGAGCTTTAATGAATATGTTATAACCAATCTTTCAAACTTGTGAAAATATACGGTATAACAATAACGGTTCAAAAAAGCTCTGATGCCAACTTTTGTAATATACTAATATACCTTCTGAGATCGGTGTATTAAATGAGTGTTTTGCTAATAATAATATAATTGCGTTTGTGGCTTAATTAAGATATTTTGTGTTTGTTTGTTTATTATATTTGATTTTTTTATTATTGAATACTAGCGACAGGACCAACATGGAACACTGGCACCTCGCATACATTAGATAAAACGGACGCTAACGCGTGTAATTCTGTCACAACTTTGTCAGCAACTTCGACAGACAGTTCGACCGTTCAATACAGGTACCTACGGACAATATCATATATTTTAATGAATTTAGATTGTATTTATCTTGATAAAAGGTTTTCACATTCATTTTTTTAAATACATGTAATTAACTACATTGTACAGAAAATACAAATACGCTTGTACTTGTTTTGTGTTCGTCAAATTGTCATTTTAAAGTATTTAAGTATGCCATTCTGTCTTGGAAGTAATAAAATTCACCCCAAAATATGAATTGTGTGCTTACATCTTTTATACAGTTCCATATACCTTGTACATGCTGCATTTATGTAACTGTAATGGGGTTTTACTGTTTAATGTGAGATTTGGAGCAATCTGTCGGAAACTTGAAAGGATTTCAATATCAAACACATAAATATATGACCAACAGATTGGCTGCAAGGACGTGCAGTCTTGTCTGAAGAAAGGCCAATTACTTACATTACTAACGGTGGAGGGAATACTAGTATGTTAAAATAAAAAAGATAATGTAGAACAGTATGCTGACGGCTTTTTTCTTCTAAATAATGAAGAGAAAAACTGTTAGAACTGTAAGTATGAAACATTACAGTAATCATCCTGTTATTATTTCCAAACAAGTAGAAGTTGGAATGCAATTTTAAGACTGCAACTATAGCAGAATATACAGACGAGTATGAATTACAGAACAAGCCATAAACTCAACACAAACTATACAGTCTCATCTACGTTATCTATGTTCTAAGTCAGTTACAATTAAATGACGGATGGACAATGGGTTTTCCTAAGATTAATATGTCAGTTCATATAAGAAAAATGTTAAATTGTACGCAATATACATGTTACATTTGAATGTAGGAAACACACCTCAAGGCTTATTTATAAGAAAAGTGTATCGTAACCCAAGATTTACATTGATAAAACAACTTATGATTTCTATATCCAAAAGAAATTTGGACATATTTTAGTGTTTAACACACACACAATTTTATATGTTATTATATTCTCCACGCATTAATGAATGTGAAATAGTTTGCCGCCGTATTTTAACCATTATTTTGAGCGTTTTGATTGAATTGGGCTGTTTAACGGCATCTTATTTCAGTATTCAAGGAAGCAGTGTGTTTACTATCACCGGAAGTAACATTCTAAGCTGTACCCTCGGGGACATCACATTGTCTTCATACACAGTAGTTGTAAGGTAATATTCCGTATTTTGCACAATATTGAATAAAATCAATGAACATTCAGATTTTTTAACCGACTCATGTGCCAAAAGATGTGTCAATTTTGTCCATAATATCTTTATCAAATGCATATCGTACCACATGTAGTCTCGTTTTCAATTTCAGGGTAAAAAAATCATATCATTTCCTTATTGTACTTGAAGTAACAAAGTTCTGTCAAAATGTGAGAAAAAAAGAGAAATAGAGAGTCCATTATACATTTTTGAGAACAATATTGATTCTGTTTACTTTTGAAGTTACGAAATCAAAACGACATGACTGTTTTAGTAACTTTATAAAAGATGCATTTACACTTGTTTCGTGTTTACTTTACAGAGCCAACCAGGATAATAATGTTCCGACAGATATTACATTGACTATCACTGTAACAGGCCTTTCATCAGGGTCAGGAGGTAAATATAATAATTAGGAACTTTGTAATAAATAGGAAAGAAAATGTTTAAAAAGTAAAATTTCGGTAAGAGCGATTTAGTTGTTTTATCCTAATAAAACTCTTCTTTTTTGGACCACTCTAGAATTCATACGTTTTAAATGATAGTATTCCACTCAAAATTGGTTAAGTTTTAAGGTTTGTTTCTGTAAGAATCGAACCCTCAGCGGTCAGGGGCAAGTGGTTTGATGTCAACGATCTATATAATAAGCAGTGGCAAAGCAATGTTATAGTGGCTATCTTGTTGATGACGACGTTGTGTCATCATTTACATTGTCAGATATGAGACGGGACCGAGTTATTCCGATTTGCATTTTATAATGAAAATGTTTTGATGTGTCGATGCTGAATAGTTAACATTATTATCAGCAAATGATGACAAATAAAAAAAATGTTTTGACGCGTTGATACCAAAAAAGCTACTTTTTATATAACTCATTGAAACATATTACTTTTTCAATTAGACTATATTATTGTTTTCAATGGGCTTTTTTAAAACATCAAATCAGACATTTCTAAGTTTAGAATCTGACAGCGGAGAATAATGTATCCATATATCCTATGTACTCAAAGTCCTGCATTACAATATTATAGTCATAATGATTTGACAGATTATATGACTTTGTATTTAGGGGTTTATAATCAGAGGCTAGATTTATGTATAGCAAATATTAAGCATTTAATCAATACTATATAAATGCCACAAATTAGAAATTAGTAATTAGAATTAGTATTTTGAAGTATTTCTGCCAATGTTGAAACTGAAACATCTATATATGACAAAACCAACGTAATGCGTTTGCGACCAGCATGGATCCAGACCAGCCTGCGCATCTGCGCAGTCTGATCAGGATCCATGCTGTTCGCTATCAGTTTTGCTACTTGTAATAGGGTTGGTTAGCGAACAGCATGGATCCGGAGCAGACTGCGCAGACGCGCAGGCTGTTCTGGATCCATGTTGGTCGCTAACGCATTATGTTGGTTTTGTCGTGACGCGGCTCATATATTTTTTATATAATTGTGATATCAACTGCTTTTCAAGGCGGTTCTTCAGAAGGAGAATCAACTACAGAGGACAGTGATGACAGTTGGAAATATGGTGTTGCGTTTGGAACTGTCGGGGCAGTAGGTGTAACAGTAGGCGGACTCATATTTGCGATGAAAGGTATGCACTGTGACAAACTCAAACATTATGTTAACTACAGCAAACAATTGCACAAAAATGATCATGACTTTATTATTGTAGTTAATTGTAAACAATCACTGTATTATTTTTATTATTTACAAGTATTCATTTACAAAATATACACATGTTTGCTTAATGATATTATTATTTATTTATGAAGGTAATAAATTTTGTCTTGAGACAATTTGTTCTTTTTTTATTAATGTTTGTTGACAGAGGTAGTTTTGGATTTAGATAGCCCTATAATCAAGCAATACTTATTCCTTCTTTCACGTGAGACTTGTTTGATGGTAGTGTTTATTTTAAACATCTGTATAAACAATTCAAACAATTACGCAAAACTATCACATCCTATAAATATTTAAACAATAACAATTTAAATACGACTGCTTGAATCGCTTTGTTATGAAGCTTTTAGAATTTATTGTTATTCGTCGTTATGAATTCATATGTAAGCATTGCCTGTATTGTGTAAAATGCAAACTATACAATGGTTCTAAAGAGTCTTTATTTATTATGCTTGCATAAAGGTGTCGATAACAAAGGAGGTTTGTTATTAATCGTACATCGTTAAAGCAGATTATATGAATGGGAAACATGTGAACATTCAAAGAAGTACATGTATTTGCATAGTAGTTAGGTTGCACCGGGGCACTGCACTAACAGTCATCGTTGCAAACAAATATATATATATATATATATATGATCTTATTTTCAGCAGCAAAAAGACGAGATAAAAGACGAGATGATAAAAATAAAAAAGATCCTGGTAAAAGGATTTCCTAGTTAATTCCCTTAGAAATTACTCATGGTCGCTGACTATCATTATACTCTGTTATCATTTAGCATTTGACCTTAAGTTTGAATAACAAAGGAAAACTTTAAACAAAGAAGCAAACAAAACACAGACAAACACATATTCTGTTATGATTAGTATGCATTTTTAAGCATTTCTTAACTCAACTTTATTAATCCAGCAAATGATAAAAATCGACTCAGCATGTCACTTAAAAAGAAATAAATAAGTAATTATTATTGTAGTCCTAAATTGTCATAATTTAGAGAGTATTTTGTAATCAATATATACTTACCGTATATATTTAATGAAACACGAACAATGCAGCACAGGTAGCTGATGGGTATTCGTTCGTTACAATGTTACAAATGACTACTCCTAGGTTATGTCTTTTTGAATTTCATAACTTTATAAAGAATGCTATGTTGGTTAGATTTAGGGATTAAACCCTTGTTAGTTTGAGATATTTTTATGCTCCGAATACTTTTGCATTGACCTTTTTGATAATTCTATAACACTAAAATAAGATAACAATATTCGCTGTTTTAGCAAGAATTTACATTTAATTCATTTGCAATGGATTCTTTATCATGTTGTCATTTCTTTGTACTGTTTCTCATAGTGAAATTTCACGAAACTACCAGTTGTGTGCCATATCACCTTATGTTTATCACATAGTCTTATACTTGTCACATCATATTATCTTTATCACGTCACCCTATCTTTCATCATAGAATTCTATGTATTTGCATTAGATGAACATGTGTGAAATGCTTTTGTCAGGTCAGGACTAACACAGAATAGCTCATCCGGGTGGTTAGTTGTGTATGCATGTGTTCCATTATATGTTTCAGCGTGCACATTGTGACAAAAATAACTCATAGCTGCTTTCTAATAGTTTAGAACAAATAATTAAGGAAAAGTAAATGTAACTGAATAAATTTGAGTTGGGTGAATATATTTGAGAGACAGTGTAATTCATATACCTTTAACAAATACTGGAAAAGGGATATGATTTATGAGCAGTCACAAATATGCTATTTAAATTTTAAGCTTAATTTCTACTTTTTAAATTATGTAATTCAACATAACCTGCTTCAGAATGAGTAATGTATGATTTAAAAGATATGATTTTACACCTCATTATTTCGACATAAAAAATCAAAATTGACTATCACAGGTATTTTATGACTCATGTGAATGTATGGAAGGTAATAAATTTTAGGCGTAATGCAATTTAAACATATTTTGATCATAATCATATGCATCTGATAGCACTACTTTAGATTGACGTAAACAACATACATATATATTTTTAATCGGTGTTTATTTTAAGATGTTCGCTTAAGTATTACAACGTATTCTTTGTTGAGTTTCACTTGCATCAACGATTATTTATGTAAACATATTTATTTAAAAATATTTAATATGCATCCGACAAATTAATTTACATATAGCTTCATTTGCTATGCAAATTAAGTACACATGTGTTATGAAGAGTATTTTCTTGATTTTATAAAGTTTTCAATTTTAGTGTTCTTCGGCAATTGTAAACGTTTAAGGACTATGTATAATTACAATGTAGTTCCATTAACCAATTACTGCATGAGCATTTTGTGAAAGATGGCTGTTTTCATTAAAAAGTCTCCAGTTACAAGTTCAAATTGCTATAAACCTATAAAAACTGCTTCAATACTAATCAAACTACAAAAACAATAGAGATACTCAAAGGTAAAATGTATGAGATTCAAGGAAAATGTGACAGATTAATCAAGTCTTACATGTCTTAAAATGATTTCAGATGACGATTTAAAGTAAATGACAATCTACATATGAAAAAATAAATGTTATCATTTATTTATGATTTCCTACGGATATGTTATACATAATGCTAAATTCATTTTTTAAATAAATAAAACATAATTTGATGAGCTTAGATACATTTTATATCTACATTTGTATCTGCCTTGAATAACATAAAGAGGTAGTAATGATGATGATGCTGAAGATTGGAGGACAGTGTTATAACTATGTAAATAGTTAAAAATTAACAACTATAATATACACTGTGTTTGTGAAGTTAGTCAGACAGCTGGAGCAGCCGGAACAAGTTTTGCCTGAACCGATTGAACGGACTGAACCAGCTACCCATAGATAATACAATAAAAACTGTGCTTTATTTCATTATGTTATTTCTTGTTAGTGATAACCTCGATCTCTGCGTGGCTATTTCGGCTAGTCAAAACAAACGGACCTTTCAATACTACTGATAAAGGCGACACAATGTGTGTGTTTTGTTTAGATTATCCGTTCATGCCTATAGATTATCATTCAGATATTGGGTTTTTTTTATCGGTCAAAACTAGTGTTGTTCATGTTACATGCTATATTTTTGTATTTGTTGCAATCGTAGGTATTGTCGAATATATCTCCGTAGCGAGCTATATTATGCGGGGACAATAAAAGGCGTTACAAATAATAGATAACAAAAGATGATGAAGCACTTGACGACAAGCAAATAATAATAATTATAATAATAAGATAATTAAAAAAGATAGCAAGAATGTTTAAATTATAATCATATCGTTGCAGCTCTAGGTAAATCGTCTGGAAGCATGGTCACAGATACAAATATAGTCAAGCCAAAGGAAGATGTTAAAAGCCCTTTACCAAGTACAGCAGAAAAGTAAGAGTATAATTAAGAGAAACTCAAATGAGGTCAAAATGCCTAAAACAATGAAATTTGACATTTGCACATAGATCAAGTTAAACACTTAAACTTGAGAAAAAAATCTGCAATGATACTAGTAATCAGAAATTATATCAGAAATAGATAGAAACGCGTTTTATTTTGGGTCATTTTTGTATGATAAAAATATTGGATGAGGGGATCATCTAAAAATGTTCACACAAGTTATTGGTTCAGGCCTACATTTAGTGGTACACAAATCTTGGGAATATGATTTGGGTACTATTATGCAAAAAAGCTCAGTTGCGTCCCTTATATAAGCAAACAATATGTAAATATTTCTGTGTAATGCTTCATATTAGCTCTATATTTCACAAGAAAAGGTTACTTTAAATTCGATTTTTGTGACTGTTCATTATTGATTTGGGGTTTAATGCCAGCTTTGGGGTAATTTCCCGATTTTATGTCATTTTGTCATACTGCAAACAATAGAGCTGCATTTTCCAATGGGAATTAAGGAATAAATACTCATACATGAAGCTAAGATCACGAGCTTTTTAATAGTGTAAGAATTTAAACAACGGACAAGAAATTGCAATAAACAAGCAGTTTAAAAAGGGCGGTATTTGCATTGTTCTAGCATTTGCAAAGATCGATTCTACCCGCAATGCACCATTGGTCTTTACTTGATATTCCTTGATTATTTACGTAGTTCATGTAGGAACTGTTTATTGGTGTATTGTCATAAAGTACATTTGAACATATTAGACATTGTTTTACGGTGCTCTTTAAACTGTACATTGTATTTCAGGGCGGACAATGCTTTGCCCAACGGAGATGTTGCTGTATGACGAATGATATTTATTGAAGAGAGAAACGACATGATAAAAAATATATTTTTGTAAAAAAAAATAATTAAAGTTTTGGCTACATTTACGTAGCATTACATTACAATACACCTTAAAATATTCTGCCAACAGTTAGATATTGGGCTACATATTTTTGTGAGTGCGATTAAAAAATAATAATGGGCATCAAATAACTAATATGAGGAAACTGTGAGAATTATGTACTTAACAATGTCTAAAAATAGTAATGATGCAACCGAGTAACTTACTACTTTACACTTAACCCTAACCTTCTGGAATACAAAAAGGATTCGCCTTTGTCTCAGGTGTAGACTGCACACCCGTACTGTTGGACCATTCTCTAACTTGTTGATATTTAAACTTCTTAAAGCGGCCTTCTGCTTCTTTAAGGCTAAACATTTTATTTTTTGATAAAATGTTTCATATAATTGTCAATTCAAAAGAATTCAGAGGAAAATGGAATTTTCCGACGATAAAACACATTAAATAATTAGGAACCCTCGTCAATACCTCTTATTTACCGTTCGCTATATATTTAAATTAGTAAAGCGGACGGTTCGTTCCCCGATCTTTTATTTTTAGAAACTGATGTTTTATAAATAGCTCTCGGGATGCTGGTTTTAAGATGGTTAAACATTGATATGATGCACTTTTCCAAGATACAAATACTGAAATACTTAGTTTGAAACAACACAGGATAGGTTATCTAACAGAAAAACCATAAGCTGAAGGCCGGTTTAAACTTTGAATGGACTGTTCAAAATTCAAAGCAGGACATTTACATTATACATATTCTATAGGTGAAAGATAAAACATGACCGTAAAGAAAAACAGAGAAAAACAGTATTGTTCGTACGTTGATATTTAAAGTGAATTGGTCAACAATAGTCACATATTTTATATGTATATAAATTATTGATGAAAAAACAATAGAAATGCACCATTTGGATATTCTTATAAAATATTATTCGGAAAAAATGTTGATAAAGTTACAAGTGATTTAGTATGAACATTTATTCTATGAATAATAACATTTTGTTCTAGAACATTTTATTATCTTCTATATAAATATATATGTTATATTGGATATTTGTATCTCACATTTACCATCAACATCTATATATAATTATTTCGTGTTTTGTTGTTATGGCTGATACCAAAATACTATCAACATTATTGTCTCTTGCACTACAGACTTTCTGTTATAGACTATTCATTTACTATTTTGCTATGTCTAAATCATAACAGATGCATTGCGATTATAAAGATAGACATATCAAAGAAAAGTGGCCATCTAAATATACTTATATCCAGATCGTTAGTTTTTAATGTTATTATGTATCATTTACAAATGAAATGTGTGATGGGTGTTTGATATAATATTGGATGCCTGATTGAAGTTGATAACTTACATAAAAGATAGTTTTATATATTTTGCGAATATTTTATGTATAAAAGCAAAACAACTATACAACTTTTCATGACCTTTTGCACTATTTATAGTAGGAAATTCAGTTGTTTTTTGTAAAGCATTTCATTATTGTATCATTTATTTGATATATTAGCTGTAAGTATTCACTTTCATCACTTACTCTCAGATATTTTGTTTAATATATTGAATCAATAAAAAAACAAAGTGAATGCTTACTGAAAGAAAGTCTTCGATTTTCTGTCAGGGAAAACTGTGGAAATCAAGGAATATAAATTATAAAATGCATTTAATTTATGAACAATAAATTCAGGTTTATCGGCATATATATTATATTACAGCTGCTTGTACAAAATTTATTATACGGATGATTGTTTTACTGATTTACTCGTTGTTTTCATTATATAATAATAAGCAAAGCGCTTGTCTATGAGGCATTTAACCATGTCACTAACAATATCCCACATGCTATATTTACGAAAGAAGCAAGCTCCGAATAAAGAAAATATCAAACTATAATTTATGTACAATAAACATTGAAGACGACATCGTTCTAAATAAACAACAATTCTTTATTGTCGCAGAATCGTGCCCATATATTGCTGATATTATCATTGCTTATTTGAGAATGGATGACGCAAATGTAATATTATGTGACGTCATGTTTGCTTTCTATGTATAATCTGAACGATGTTTTGTATGATTTCATTATTGTTTCAGAATGGACGTAAAAGAAATGACTAATATACAACATGTATATAAAATATTTATTATATTTGTACATTTGTTTCATAAAATTTCACGCTTAAAAAGATTTGTGTTGTTTTGCTTCTTTTTGTTTGTTTGTTTTTTATTGTTTGTTTCTATTTTCTTTTATTGATTTTTTTAATATTTTTATTTAATTATCATTTTAAGATTAAAGAGGATATCGAAAACGAAAATAAGCCCTATACATTTTTGGAGCAATCCTGAAAATATGTAAGATGGCACAATATTGGTGAGCTTCTAAAGCCTAAGTCGGAGGAGTCACTCCAGTTTTCTGAAGTTTTTAATCGTCAAGACGATGTAATACTATCTATTTCTTGTTTTCAAGAGCGACTTACTAAATTGTAATGAGCAAATATATCAATAAGTGTATTACAAAACACGAATAAGTAGAATTTGTTAAATAATAACAAAACTACCCTGAAATATGTATCAATATTGATAATTACACACCAGATTCAGTACCTGTATTTCTCCGATTGGTGTGTAAGAAACATGTTTAAAAGTAGCTACCTTGGCGACAACCTATAAGATATAATTGAACAATAGTGTCAGTTATTAATACAAATGAACTAAACACAAATGAGCAATCTAGGGATAAATGATGGACGATTATAATCTCTCTTTTTCCAAATATAAGATACATGTCTGAAGAGCTTCGGTCGCAATGTAAACATATAATATCTGAAAACAAGCTGTTTTGTATTTATTGTTATATGTTTAAAAGAACTGCATAAAACAGTTATTGCCCAGGCTTGGCAAGGGTTTCGATCGTCCGGGAATCAAAAACTACGCATACTAGAGGTGAAAATAAAACAACCTGTTGCAGGTTTGCTTCGCCGGATTTCTTATACCATACCAGAGAAACTTGAAATATTCTATCCAAAGGTTAACACTTACATTAATTACAATTGCTTATTTTAATTGAGTCAAACAAAAGTTAAATTTCTTTAAATAACGTCGTATTTGCATAGATTACATAATAAGATGTGCGTGTTTTATGACAATATGACAGTAAATAAACAAATTCTAAGAATTTGACAACTATAAAGTCAATTAAAGTTTATTTATAATTCAATTTGATTCACAATCAGTATTCGATTCGTTAATTGTATCTTTTACTACAATCATCTCTTTAGAATATTCGTTTATGGTATGTTTGGTATCTTTTACAGTGCCAATTGCTTTGTCACGTTCTGATTTATATACTAATGACGTCATAGCACTTGTAATACCGCCCAACAAAAGGAACGCACCTGAAATAGAACAATCCTTTATAGTAGAGGTTATTATAATACAAGTATTTGAATGGTTGCAAACACATAAACACTAGCTCCCTGGAATACACAAAAAGAGAAATAGTTGTATACTTATGTATTATTACACAGTTGGATTATTTAGATTTATAGTTTGACTGTTAAGAGACTGTTTGAGATTTAATGTTTAAGACTGATTTCAATCCATTTGCGTTTTCATTTCTCAACTAAAGAAAAGATGCTTAAATGTATATAATGAACATAAAAATTCAAAGATAATAAAGTATAATCAGAAGTAACTTGAAAATACGTTTTCTTTTCTTGCGAAACAGAGTCGGGTTTGAAAGAAAATCTTTAATATTATCATTTATCAATATTGTCATTATGCGCAACAGTCATCATTCTGGAGCGAATGATCTGAAACTTTGCATAATTATGATTGATTGGTCCAGACCTTCATCAAATTGGACACAAATCACACAAAAGCCAGCGAGCATAAAACAGCTAAAATAGTATAGGAAACTTTAGGTCTCCCTAAAGTTGCATTCATACGACGTAAAACAATAATACATTACCTGAAGTGTAGAAAGAATGATCATATATACCACCCGTATCAACAACAATGCCTGTTCACAAAAGAATTGAAAATGAAAAAAGACCATTGCGAATAAAAGGTATTACCTTAAATGCATGTGACGTGTTCAAGTATAAATCCATTTATTTCTCCAAATACTTCGACACAAAATATGAATACTAGTACATGTATATGATATATTCTATTATGCTTTATGATTTGAATATTTATTACATGTAACAAGTTTATTTACATATATATTAATTAATAAAACAAATTAAATACATACCCGCCATGATAGGCCCCAGAAGTATTCCAAGACCACAAAAGAAATATTGTATTCCAATAGATTTAGCGAGATTTAATATACCAACATATTTCACTGAAACACTGGCAGTTAATACATACACATTGCCGTACAAAGAGCCAAGAAAAATAGCAAAAATAACGTTCCCTGCAGTTGTATGTGATATAAATGGATACACAATTGTCATAATACCTAATATGAACATTGGTAGGCAATACAAAATAGCGTCCCTTATATATTTGTGAGAAGCAACAACACCGGTGAGTATTCTTCCTAAAGCTGTAAGAATTCCTGACAACGAAACAAGGTTTGCTGCAAACGATCTTGAAAACCCCTTTTCGACAACATACTTCGGCAAATGCATAAATACTAGGTAAGTCCCAAGGCAAAAACTAAACAATCCAAGGCTCAAGCATAAAACTGTTTTGTTTGATAAAACTAAAATATAGTCCTTAAGGTTTTTTACGATGGCTGAACATGGGTCTTGCTGTTACGACTAAATTCAAACCGTCGACGAGATTTAGTGTAGAGTTCAAGTTTACTAGGGAAAAACATGACTCCAAATACAACAATATGTGCGTATATCCCCGATAACAACAGAAAGAATCCAAATGATCCATACGTGTTGTAGATGAAATCCATAACTGGTGCTAGAAACGTTAAACCAAACCCAATTCCGGACAGTGCAATACCCAAGGCAATCTTTCGTCTTTTGTGGAAGTTGTATCCAATAACAACCATACTTGACGTAAAGCCCACAGCCCCTCCTAAACCTATGTTTAAAAATATAATAATTGCAACATATTAAGTCGATTCTATGAATTCAATACTGGCATCGACTATATTGGCAATCTGTTCTATTAGAATATGAATTTTTATGGTTATAATCAAGCATTTAACATTTCGTGAAAATGAAATTCAATAGTCAGTGTAGGAGACTTTGTTAATAAAATGTCAGGCACAGCGAATACGAATAGAATTGATAAAGTGATATAAAAGAAAGCTACACAATATATGGATTTCTCACCTGCGACTATTCCATATGTTAATATTACGCATTCAATATTTGGTGCAAATGCTGTACCTAAATAACCAAGAAAGAACAAACACCCAGAAGCTACAAGGGCAACACGGCAACTGAATCGCTCTAGTACAATGGATGATAATGGCGCTGAAAATAAATACAAAGATTAATTACATCATTTAGCTAAGATATACTAGTTGGTTGCTCATAATTTTTACCAAAGATCGCTGTATAAAGTGACGCAGACAATTTAACAACGTGCAAGTTTCCCCGCTCTCATTAAGACTTTAAGGGCCACATTAAACAAACTTTTGTTAAGGAAGGGTAAAAAATTATATATTTGTCTTCAAACTATCAAATCTATTTTGTATAAAGATTCGTATCCATATGCTTATTTGCACAAGAAGCTTGTTTTTTTATTTGTTTATTTTGATGCAGTATAAGTCACACCGACACTTTAAAAGTCGCATCGATTTTTCTAGCCTTATATTTGGAGGAGACCTCATGTCCCCCTCTGAGCTCTATTTCAGGCACGAGCGGGCACATTAGTAGATAAGTATTCATTTAAGTTCTACAGTGTAATATTGTGCTGCTCTTAACTCAATTAATACATTGTCTTAATATCAAATCAAGGTTTCTTATGCTACTTTTGGGCCGATGACTTTCTTTTTTTTTATTCAATATCTTAGAAATATAAAGCCTTTTTGTAAAGAGTATGTGGTAAACGTAGCCACGATGTTGTTTTATTAAGTGTAGTGTTGATTTAAATCAAATCCTGTATTATAATAATATCGATTCGTTTAAATAATAACGCTATTACTAATTTTACTCCATTTAACTTTTGC